AACTTCTGAATGACATGTTAAAATCTTCCAGTGTGATTGTGAATTTATTGTTTGTTCCTTGTATATCTACTTTTCAGTCTGTGTGTATTATTTTGTTGTAGACTTATCTTTTGTAAATAGGACTAACAGTTGACCAGTATTAACTGGTATAGCTTACTGGCTGGCATCCATTCTGATCTGTGTAAGTCTATGCCACATCAGTTGTCAAATAGTTTTGATATTATCATTGCTGTTAATTGCTTATAGCTGGTTTCAGGGTTTTTTTAATTTTAATTTTTAGATTTTATTTATTTGAGAGAGAGAGTGAAAGAGAGAATGAGTGGGGGGAGGATCAGTGGGAGAAGCAGACTCCTTGTGGAGCAGGGAGCTGGATGTGGGACTTGATCCCAGGCTCCTGAGATCATGACCTGAGCCAAAGGCAGACACTTAACCAACTGAGCCACCCAGGCACCCTGGTTTCAGGGTTCTTTGTTTTTTTAAATTTTATTTTATTATGTTATGTTAGTCACCATACAATACATCATTAGTTTTTAATGTGGTGATTCACGATTCATTGTTTTCATATAACATCCAGTGCTCCATGCAGTATGTGCCCTCCTTAATACCCATCACTGGGCTAACCCATCCCCCCACCTCCCTCCCCTCTAAAACCCTCAGTTTGTTTCTCAGAGTCCATAATCTTTCATGGTTCATCTCTCCCTCTGATATCCCCCCCTTCATTTTTCCCTTCCTCTCCTAATGTCCTCCATGCTATTCCTTATGTTCCACAAATAAGTGAAACCATATGATAATTGACTTTCTCTGCTTGACTTATTTCACTTAGCATAATCTCCTCCAGTCCCATCCATGTTGATGTAAAAGTTGGGTATTCATCCTTTCTGATGGCTGAGTAATATTCCATTGTATATATGGACCACATCTTCTTTATCCATTCATCTGTTGAAGGGCATCTTGGCTCTTTCCACAGTTTGGCTATTGCGGACATTGCTGCTATGAACATTGGGGTGCATATGGCCCTTCTTTTCACTACATATGTGTCTTTGGGGTAAATACCCAGTAGTGCAATTGCTGGGTCATAGGGTAGCTCTATATTTAATTTTTTGAGTCATCTCCACACTGTTTTCCAAAGTGGCTGTACCAACTTGCATTCCCACCAACAGTGTAAGAGGGTTCCCCTTTCTCCACAACCTCTCCAACATTTGTTGTTTCTTGCCCTGTCAATTTTTGCCATTCTAACTGGCATAAGGTGGTATCTCAATGTGGTTTTGATTTGGATTTCCCTAATGGCTAATGATGATGAACATTTTTGCATGTGTCTGTTAGCCATTTGTATGTCTTCTTCAGAGAAGTGTCTATTCATGTCTTCTGCCCATTTTTTGACTTGATTATTTGTTTTTTGGGTGTTGAGTTTGAGAAGTTCTTTATAGATCTTGGATACCAGCCCTTTATCTGTAGTGTCATTTGCAAAGATCTTCTCCCATTCTGTGGGTTGCCTCTTTGTTTTGTTGACTGTTTCCTTTGCTGTGCAGAAGCTTTTTATCTTGATGAAGTCCCAAAAGTTCATTTTTGCTTTTGTTTCACTAGCTTTTGGAGATGTATCTTGAAAGAAGTTGCTGTGGCTGATGTCAAAGAGGTTATTGCCTATGTTCTCCTCTAAGATTTTGATGGATTCCTGTCTCACATTGAGGTCTTTCATCCACTTTGAGTTTATCTTTGTGAATGGTGTTAGAGAATGGTCGAGTTTCATTCTTCTGCATGTGGCTGTCCAATTTTCCCAACACCATTTATTGAAGAGACTGTCTTTTTTCCATTGCATATTTTTTCCTGCTTTGTCGAAGATTATTTGACCATAGAGTTGAGGGTCCATATCTGGGCTCTCTGTCCTGTTCCATTGGTCTGTGTCTGTTTTTGTGCCAGTACCATGCTGTCTTGGTGATCACTGCTTTGTAATATAGCTTGAAATCGGGCAACATGATGCCCCCAACTTTGTTCTTTTATTTTGTTTTTCTTTTCTTTTTTTTTAAATTTTTATTTATTTATTTGACAGAGAGAGACAGCAAGAGAGGGAACACAAGCAGGGGGAGTGGGAGAGGGAGAAGCAGGCTTCCCGCTGAGCAGGGAGCCGGATGCGGGGCTCGATCCCAGGACCCTGGGATCATGACCTGAGCTGAAGGCAGACGCTTAATGACTGAGCCACCCAGGCGCCCCTTATTTATTTATTTATTTTTTTTTTTAAGATTTTATTTATTTATTTGTCAGAGAGAGACAGAGCACAAGCAGGGAGAGAGGCAGGCAGAGGGAGAAGCAGGCTTCCCGCCGAGCAAGGAGCCCGATGTGGGACTCGATCCCAGGACCCTGGGATCATGACCTGAGCCGAAGGCAGACGCTTAACCGACTGAGCCACCCAGGCGTCCCTATTTTGTTTTTCTTACAGACTTCCTGCCCCCAAGAGATTTTGTCCCCTAATAGAGAAGTTTTTTCCTGCCTTTGTATTTTATGTTTTCCATTTATTCTGCTTGTTGTTCCTTCTCCACCCCCAGCCCCCTGCCTTTGCTAGATTTTTAAAAATCATAGCAAGGTTGAACATTTGTGTATATATGTGTATGTGTGTTTGTTTATCTGTGTCTCTGTGTGTGTACATACACATTTATGCAATTTTTATTTCTCATTCTGTGAACTGTCAGTTTATATCCTTTTATTTGTATCTGTTGTGTGATTGGTTATAATCTTGATCTTGTAGGAAAATTTTTTTTTTTTTTTAAAGATTTTATTTATTTATTTGAGACAGAGAGAGAATGAGAGAGAGAGCATATGAGAGGGGGGAGGGTCAGAGGGAGAAGCAGACTCCCCGCCGAGCAGGGAGCCCGATGCGGGACTCGATCCCGGGACTCCAGGATCATGACCTGAGCCGAAGGCAGTCGCTTAACCAACTGAGCCACCCAGGTGCCCCGATCTTGTAGGAAAATTTTACATTAAGAAAATTTTATCTTTTTCTGTGATGTGTACCAAATTTCTTTTTATAGTTTATCTTTCTTTTGACATTGTTTTGTAGTGTTTTTTCCCCTAACTATCTTATTAACTGCTTTCCATAGACTATGCTTTGCTTATTTTTCCTTTTCCTTACTTTTTCTTGATTTACTGTTTTTTTCTTTCCTTCTAAAGATTTGAAAGTTATACATGCTAATTCTGTGCTCACCTTAGTTGCTCAGAAATTATCACGTACATTTAAACTGAAAGGATCTTGTCATCTTTGAGAATAGATTACTCTCTTTACTTTCCTTTGCTTTTCCCGTATTTTCCATGTATTCTTGAATCTTATTCCAGATTATAATAATGCTAATAAGTTAGTTTTTTGGTCAGTCTTTCTTAGTGATTATTTAGATCTCACAACCATACTTATAAAGGTCAATTTAGGGGCATCTGGGTGGTTCAGTCAGTTAAGCGTCTGCCTTCGGCTCCTGTCATGATTCTGGGGTCCTGGGATTGAGCCCTGCGTCAGCCTGCTTCTCCTTCTCCCTCTGCCCACCACTCCCCCTGCTTGTGTGTTCTCTCACTCTTTCAAATAAATAAATTTTTAAAAATCTTAAAAAATAAACCTCATTTTAAGTATATTATAAATTACTGGTTTCTTTGTACTACCATTTCTCTTATTCAGTGTATTTTTCCTGGATTTCTTACTTTTCTGGAATAACATCTAGAATCGTTTTTTCCCAAAACAATTTTATGGCTAAACTTTGAAGTTTTTTTGTTTTTTTTAAGATTTATTTATTTGATGGGGGAGGGGCGGAGGGAGAGAGAGTCTCAAGCAGATTCTGTGCTGAGCACAGAGGCCAGTGCAGGCCCGATCCCATGACCCTGAGATCATAACCTGAGCTGAAATCAGGAATCGGATGCTTAACCAACTGTGCCACCCATGAGCCCCTAAACTTTGAAGTTTTATATGTCCTAAAGTGTTTTAATTTTGCTCTCATATTTGAGTAATAATTTGATAGGAAATATATTCCTATAAAAGTTATTTTGCTCAAAACATTGAAAACATCATGTCACAGATGAAAAGTTTAATACCAGTTTGTAGAGTTAAAAAAAAAAAAAGCTATGTAGGGCACTGCTATGACATTATAGAGTAAAAGTTTTAAAAGAAAAAAAGTTGCAAAGTAGCATTTGTAATATGTCTCATTTATACATATGTGGATGTTCATAGAGAGAGGTCAGAAAGAGTATTTACCAATTATTGCCAGTAGTGATTGTCCTGATTATCTAGTACCATGTAATAAACTCCTCTGAAAGTTAGCGATGCAAAATAACAATGATTTATTATGTTCAGGGATTCTCTGCATCAGGAATTCAGACAGGACACAGCAGTGATGGCTAGGCCCTGAGATGGGAAGGCTTGAATGGCCACTCCCATATCTGGTGCCTCCACTGGGATGACTGAAGGATGGACTGAACTGGGGCCGTCCTCCTATATGCCTATATGTGCCGCTCCACATGGGGTTTTTGTGGCAGTTTGACTTACATGGTGCTTCAGGATTCCAAGAACAAGTGTTCTGTACTGAAGCTGCATTAGCCTTCTGTGACCAAGCCTCGGAAGTCACTCAGTGTCATTTCACCATACTCTAGTCGAAGCAGTCACGGGCTTGCCCAGAATCACGAGTGGGGACCAACATGTAGATCCTACGTCCTGATGGGAAGAGTGTCAGAATTTGCAGCTATGTTTTGAAACAGTCACAGTTGTTGTGGACAACAGTGTTGGTTAAATGATGGCAGGAATTTTTTAAAAATCTCTTCTGTTCATTACTGATCCCCAGAAGAGTACTTGGTACACAGCAGTATTTGATAATTACATGTTAAAAGAATGAGGAATGGGGTTTTTGCTCTCCTAATGCTTTTTGGTAGTAAATGAATTTTTCACAGTAAGCATAGATTATCTTTATAAATAGAAACAAAAATCAAATAAAAGGTATAATGTTAATGTTTTCATTTATTTCATGATATCCTAGATATTTGAATGATTTCTATGAGTTGGAGCTACAGCATGGTTCTGGTGTTGTGGGTTGGAGCATTCCAGTGACTAAAGGAATTGTGCCTTCTCCAAGAGAATCCCACACAGCTGTCATATATTGCAAAAAAGATTCTGGAAGTCCTAAAATGTATGTCTTTGGTGGAATGTGTGGTGCTCGCCTGGATGATCTATGGCAACTTGACTTAGGTAAGCTTACTTGATTCAGGCTCAGGAATTGGTTATGATTGATAAAGGCAAATGTAAAAATCGCTTTTGAAAAATATTTTTGGTTACAGTATTTATTGAGTTACAGTTAGATTTATAGAAGGCACTTATAGCCAGCTCTGGGACAGCCGAGATGTGATGCAAATGGTGGCTGATCAATGAAGTTAAACAAATGAATGTTTGATTTATGATAGTAACTCTCCTGTGCTCCTTATAAATAGGGTCGCCATATGTCGTTGTTTGCCTGAGAAGGCCCTGATTTATGCTTATTGTCCTGTGTAATTACCAATAGTACCAATTATCACTCTGTAAAGTGTCCCACTTGGGGATGATCAAATTTATATGGTTACTTTGTCCACAGGAAATGTAGCATTAGTAACGTTATTGCTGGTCAGTGGAAAAAACCGTGGCTAGCTCTTTTTAAGGGGATCCTAGGAGTGAGTGAATGGAGGGTAGGTGTGCCTTTCACTTTTGACTATCTTCTACACAGTGTCTTCTTACTTAAAATGTTAAAATCCCTAATCTGGTTTTAATCCAAAATTGGTGGCACCTAAATACAGTTCTCCATTACAAATGCTAACATTCAACTGTAAATAGATTACTGTAATTGGCTATTTATGTCAGCTGGAAATGTTTATTTTAAGATGAAGTTCAAGTAATGGTTTTGAAACATTTTTGCTTCTTTTTGGTAAGTCCTTTTTATATTTTTTAAAATTCTGCAAGGTGAGATACTTTACTATTATTAAACCAAATTGCTAATATACTTATTTTTACTTCTAGAAACTATGTCTTGGTCAAAACCAGAAACTAAAGGGACAGTGCCACTCCCACGAAGCCTTCACACAGCCAGTGTTATAGGAAACAAGTATGGTGGTTTTTTTTCTTTTTTTTTTCACTTTTTTTTTAAAGCAACTTAAGAAAGATACAAAGAAGAGTAGTGCTACCAATTACTTGGAAATAGATTATTGAATTTAACAATGATTATGTTTACTAAAGCTAAAATAATAAGCCTATAGAAGCTAAAATACTGTTCCATTTTCTTATCCTGCTGCCTCTTACATTTCTGTACATTTCTTACAGTGCCTTGCACAGAGTAGGTATTACATAAGTGTGAGGCAGAGTGTTGTCACACTGACTGGCTTCCATTGCCAGGTTTGATACACCTAACTCAGTGTTTTGTCTTACTTATTTTTGGTAGCACTTGATTTGTACTCAGGTATGTACTCAGTATGTACACTCAGTGATTGAATTTCGAATAGAGTTATGGTCAGAACATGAACTCTGTAACCAGATTGCATGAATTCAAGTCTTCCGTTTTGGTACATGTCATTTATGACCTGGGGCAAGGAAATTTAATCTGTCTGTACCTCAATTTCCTCACATATAAAATGCAGATAATAAAACCTATTTCACTGGCGCCTGGGTGGCTCAGTCGTTAAGCATCTGCCTTCGGCTCAGGTCATGATCCCAGGGTCCTGGGATCGAGTCCCGCATCGGGCTCCCTGCTCAGCGGGGAGTCTGCATCTCTCTCTGCCCCTCACCTGCTCTCGTGCTCTCTCTCTCTCTCGCTCACTTGCACTCTCTCTCAAGTAAATAAATAAATAAAATCTTTAAAAAAAAAAAAAAACCTATTTCACAAGGTTGTCTTGAGGATTAAATGGATTAATACATATGAAATGCTTCAAACAGTGCCTGGTACATAAACAGCACTCCATAAAAGTTAGCTTTTACTATCATCAACAAGCTCCCTTATTTGTGCATTATTGTGTAAATAGAAATTAATTATTTTCTTTGTGTAGGGACTTTTTCTTATAAGTAATGTTTTAGGAAACAACTAGAACCTCATTAGTTCTTTTTTTAAAAAATAGCCATAAATAGGGGCGCCTGGGTGGCTCAGTTGTTAAGCGTCTGCCTTCGGCTCAGGTCATGATCCCAGGGTCCTGGGATCGAGCCCCACATCGGGCTCCCTGCTTGGCGAGAAGCCTGCTTCTCCCTCTCCCGCTCCCCCTGCTTGTGTTCCCTCTCTCACTGTGCCTCTCTCTGTCAAATAAATAAATAAAATCTTTAAAAAAAAAAAAGCCATAAATAAAACCTAATAAGGCATATTTTTTTAGAATATCAGAACCCTTTTATAAAATGTGGTTTTCCATTGGAACTTTAATATATAAAATAGAAAATCGAGCTTGTTTGGTTGGCATGAGATCACATGGGCCCTAAGCGCTGCATGATAAACCTTCTCCTTCAGCAGCTATTAGGCATGTCTCAAGAACCCTTAGGGCCCTGAGGGACATAGTTTAAAGTTTTTTATTTGAGTGATATCAGTGACCAAAGTTATAAGAAACTGAATCCTCTTTGGTTACTGTATGCGTACAACTCTGAATTTGATTTTGGGTGTCATGAATCATTTGACTATCTTTCTGACTGAGGTACACTTAGTATATTATATATAATATTGATTTTCAAGTGTATTATAAGTGAAATATTCCCCACTTTATGTAACTTGCCAGAGAGAAATAATTTGATTCTGTATTGCTTCATGAAATTGTAAACTCTTCAAAGAAGACCACTTTATTCATTATCTTATTCCCATTACCTTGATCATGATAAGTAAGTGAATAGTCCTGAAGCTTTGAGTCAACAACTGAGAAATTTGTCTATTCTTAGCATTTTAAATCTAAAAAAAAAAATTAAAAAATTAAAGCTTTAGAAAAAAAAATCAAACACTCTATATTCTCTCTTTTTGTTGTTCAGGATGTACATTTTTGGTGGATGGGTTCCACATAAGGGGGAGAATATTGAGACTTCACCTCATGATTGTGAATGGAGATGTACTAGTTCATTTTCTTACCTAAATCTCGGTGAGTCTTGTAAGAGTTACTTGCTGAAATAAAATTTATTAATAAAAGAATTTTTGTTGTTTTGTTGTTTAAGGACAATGTAGTAGTCATGGATATTTCTATCTTTTAGATACAGCAGAGTGGACCACCCTAGTGTCAGATTCCCAGGAAGATAAAAAAAATTCAAGACCAAGACCAAGAGCTGGACACTGTGCTGTTGCGATTGGCACTCGATTGTATTTTTGGAGTGGAAGAGACGGCTACAAAAAAGCACTGAATAGTCAAGTTTGCTGCAAGGATCTGTGGTATCTTGATACTGGTAGGTAAGAGTATTCAACAAATATAATTTTTCCTTCAGGCAAATAAATGCTTGAGCCCTACCTGTCTCTTGAGATTTAGTGTAAATGCCACTGCCTCTCTTTTCCATAATTAAAAATGAGTGGAGGGGGCACCTGGGTGGCTCAGTCGGTTAAGCGTCTGCCTTCGGCTCAGGTCATGATCCCAGGGTCCTGGGATCGAGCCCCGCATCGGGCTCCCTGCTCGGCAGGAAGCCTGCTTCTCCCTCTCCCACTCCCCCTGCTTGTGTTCCTGCTCTCGCTATCTCTCTCTCTGTCAAATAAATAAATAAAATCTTTTTTAAAAAAATGAGTGGAAGAAATATTATATGTAGATATTTCCCACTCCAGGAGAATTTCCTTCTTTTTTTTTTTTTCCAGGAGAGTTTCTTTTTTCTTTTTTTTAAAGATTTTTTATTTTATTATTTATTTGACAGAGAGAGAGAGAGAGACAGCGAGAGAAGGAACACAAGCAGGGGGAGTGGGAGAGGGAGAAGCAGGCTTCCCGCCGAGCAGGGAGCCCGATGTGGGGCTCGATCCCAGGACCACGGGACAATGACCTGAGCTGAAGGCAGATGCTTAACAACTGAGCCATCCAGGTGCCCCACCAGGAGAGTTTCTTAATTTCCCTGTCCTTGAATATAGACTGGATTTAGTGACTCCCTTCCAAAGCACAGAATATGGAAAGGGACCAATAGTAGCTTAACAGTGGAGAAACCTGGAAAACACCATCTTAATCAAGCAGTCAATGTTAATAGCACTACTGATAGTCATGTTGAATCATTTATCCCTGCCTCTCATATTATGTGATAAGAAGAAACTTCACCTCTGAAGGTGAAGGTTTCTACACAAAACCCATAACCTCATTCTAACTGTGAGAACATTACCAACAAACCCAAATTGAGGGACATCCTAGACATTCTATGTGAACAGTGCTCTTCAAAAATTTCGAAGTCATGGAAAACAAAGTGAGGGGTGCCTGGGTGGCTCAGTCAGTTAAGCATCTGCTTTTGGCTCTGGTCATGATCTCAGGGTCCTGGGATCCAGCCCTGCACTGGGCTCCCTGCTTCTCCCTCTCCCTCTGTGATCTCTTGCTTTCGCTCTCTCTCAAATAAAGGAATAAAATCTTTTAAAAAAACAAAAAACAAGGAAAGTGAGAAATAGTCATAAATCGGAGGAGACTGAGGAGACACGAAGACTAAATGCAAGGTGGTACCCTAGATTGGATTAGAACCAAAAAAACCACAAACTGGTGAAATCTGAGTAGTCTGTAGTTTATAGTATTATTCCAGTGTTAATTAGTTTTAACAAATATGTTAGCATTAAGGGAAACAGTAAAGAGTATATGGGAACTCTGCATTTTTTCTGTAAGTCTAATAAGAGTATTCCAAAATAAAAAGATTTTTTAAAAAGATTTATTTATTTGGGGATGCCTGGGTGGCTCAGTTGTTAAGCGTCTGCCTTCGGCTCAGGTCATGATCCCAGGGTCCTGGGATCGAGCCCCGCATCGGGCTCCCTGCTCGGCGGGAAGCCTGCTTCTCTCTCTCCCACTCCCTCTGCCTGTATTCCCTCTCTCGCTGTCTCTCTCTCTGTCAAATAAATAAATAAAATCTTTAAAAAAAAAAAAAAGATTTATTTATTTGGGATGCCTGGGTGGCTCAGTCGTTAAGTGTCTGCCTTCGGCTCAGGTTGTGGTCCCAGGGTCCTGGAATCAGGCCCTGCATTGGGCTCCCTGCTTGGTGGGAGGCTTGCTTCTCCCTCTCCCACTCCCCCTGCTTGTGTTCCTGCTCCCGCTCTCTGTCAAATAAATAAAATCTTAAAAAAAAAAAAGATTTATTTATTTTTAGAGAGAGAGAGTGCATGAGAGAGCATGGGAGGGGCAGGCAGAGGGAGAGGGAGAGGGAGAATCCCAAGCAGTCTCCCGGCTGAGCATGGAGCCCGAGGTAGGGCTCAATCCCACAACCCTAAGATCACGACCTGAGCCAAAATCAAGAGTCAGATGCCCAACCAACTGAGCCACCCAGGTGCCCCTAAAAAGATTCTTATAAAAGTATTACAGCACTAAAAATTTTAAAATATGGAACTCATCCATTTTTCAATAAATATTGATTGATACCTGTCTATCAGGAATTGTTTTACATGCTGAGAAGTGAAATGCTACAGCAGTGAAAGGGACTGATAATATCCCTAATATCAAAGAACTTATATTCTTATAGAGTATGAGGGCAGAGGGATTATGGGCACTAATCAGACAAATTAACAAAATAAGTTACATTTCTGGTAAGCGTATGAAGATAGTAGGATAGACCAGCAGGATAGTGATGGGAGGGACTGGAATGGGAAAGTGGGGTTAACTTCAGAGTGGCTAGTTAGAAAAGTATGTGATGGCATTTGGGATATAATCCAAATGGAGAGAAGATGCTATCCATGGAAAAGGCTAGGGGAGAAACACTGTAGCAAGAGTGAACAGCAAGTACGAGGGCCCTGAGACAGGAATACTTGGCACATTTGGGAACAGATTTGAGCTGAATGGAAAGGAGAACATAGGAATGGAGGTTAGAGAAGTGACAGCAGGACAGATCATGTAAGGCCTTGCACATCATGGTAGAGGTTAGCTTGTTTATAAAGTACAAGGGTAGTTTATTAGTTGGAAGGAGAGATGTTTTGTGATCTGATGTACATTTTGGAATGGGCACTGCAGTTGTGTAGAATATAAATTGTAGGTGGGCAAAAGTGCACACAGGGAGACCAGTTAGGAGGCTTTCACAGGAGTCAGAGAAGTCTTAGACTACAGTGGTGCCAGTAGAGATGGGGAGAAGTGGATGAATTCTGGATATGTTTTGGAGTTCTTGTTGACAGAACTGGCTGATGAATTGGGTATGGCATGTGGCACAAAGAGAGAATGGAGGATGAAGTTTTTTGTTTTTTGTTTTTGTTTTTTTTAAGATTTTATTTATTTATTTGAGAGAGTGAGAGAGAGAGCGCACAAGAAGGGGGAGGGGAGAGGGAGAAGCAGACTCCCTGCTGAGCAGGTTGCCCGATGCGGGACTCTATCCAGGGACTCCAGGATCATGACCTGAGCCGAAGGCAGTCGCTTAACCAACTGAGCCACCCAGGCGCCCTGGAGGATGAAGTTTTTAGCTTGAATAATTTGGTGGTATTTCCATTTACTTGGATGGGGAAGACTGAGGAAAAAACCAGTTTGTGGAGAAAATTAAGAGTTTCATTTAGACTATGCTAAGTTTGAAATAAGGAAATCAAATACATAGTTGATATAAAGAAATCTGGAGGTCAGTCAAGAAATCAGATCTGGAGATGTATGTTGTTACATGAGAAAAGCAGATTATAAAACATACCTGTGATTCCAGTTTCTTTTAAGTATATAACCAAAAATCTGGAAGGATACATGGTGTACCAAAGTGTTACCTAAAGGTGAGAGTCAACATTTTCTGAAAGGTTTTTCTTTCCTCTGTATTTTCTACAGAGGCATGTATTGCTTTTGTAATGTAAAAACAGTTTAATTTTAAAATTAAGATAACTGAAAAAATAATAAATGGAACAACTAAGAGACTAAATATTTTCTGTGGAAGAAGCACATACTTGCAAGCAGGAAAGAAATATAGAAAATCCAACTTACTGATGCATCTTTGAAATTGGGAGTTGTTGCCTGAGGTCCAAGGATAAACTTTAGTCTCAGATTGGAAGAAAAATATGTGTGTATAAATTTTTCTTGGCAGTGAATACATCACTTTCAACAGATTATCTAAGGGATCTGTGACTTTAAAAGGTTAAAAATTACTGACACTGAATGGCCGGTTTTTCCATAAACCTTTTCTTTAGACATGAATATCTACCTAAAAGTAATCGTGACCACTATCATAAGGTCAAAATTTAGATTTTGCTTCTCCTCTTAATAAGTTGGCATGAATTTTGGGGATTGGGGAAATGAGGGCTCTTCATCTTGCCTTTTTTCACTTTTAGTTAATCTTTGTGAATTTGTTAATATTTAAAAGAGTGGTTAATTCCAAAAAGCTTTTTATGAAAATTAACAGTCCTTTGCTCCAACCTTCCTCTCATTTTCCTTGCTTCACAAGCATCTGCTTTCAACTCTGTTAAACAATTCTTTTGGTATTTACTTACGTATTTCCATATAACATGAATATATTGTTACTTTGATTTTTTTTGGTTTAGACATAAAATGCTCACCTTCTTCTATGGAAATTAAGGATTTATCTCTTTTTCCCATCATTCCTCACCTTTCTCCTATACGCCTTTCCTACCCCCATTTTCTCAATATGGTTATACCATAATTTTGTTAGATGAGTATTCATTTACATTATGACTACATAAACACTGTTCATAGGTGAGCCATCTAGAATATTGTGATACTTTTCTTGTACAATTTTTATTTGCCGTGGATTAATAATTGTCACTTTTGTTTGTTTTAGATTTGTATGTATCTACCACTAATTCAATCCATACTCTGTTATTTGTTTAAATCTTCTCTCATTATGGTTAGATGCATCAGATATTCTATCAAATTTCATCGTCATGAAGAAATTTCTCCTGCTCCAATCTGGGATGATTGTCTTCCACAAATCGAGCCCAGCTATCATCTTGGAGTCTCCCTTCATCATCTTCCTGGGGATATCTTTTGCCTCTCACCTGTGCCGGATTCCCCGTTTCCTGGATCCCATATTTTTCCCTTTCTTAGTTTACTTTTTCATTTTTTTGTGGAACACATCCCAGGAAAAGGGTGCATAGGTGATAAATTTATTTTGAGATTTCACACTGTTTAGAAATATGTTCAGTCTTTCTTCCACTTATTTGGCCATTTGCATGGAAGTAGAATTCTACATTGGAAGTCATTACTCTTCAAAATTTTGAAAGCAATGCTATACTGTATTCAAGCTTCTAGTTTTTTGTTGAGAAACCCAAACCACTTCTAATTTTTGTTCTTTTTAAATGTGACCTTCCCCCTCACCCTTGATAGCTTTCAGGATTTTTTTTTTTTTTGTCCCCACTGTTCTTAAATTTCATGGTGATGTACTTGTGCATCTAATTTTAACCCACTGTGTTGAGTACTCAGTGGGCCCTTTCAGTCTGGAAACTCATGTTCTTCAGTTCTGGGAATTTTCTTGATTTACTTCATTGATTTGTACCCTTCTTTTTTCTCTATTTTCTCTTCATGTAACTTCTATTATGTGGGTGGTGTACCTCTTGGACTTGTCTTCTTATTATTTGCTTGTATGGGTTGTCTTACTTTAAGAAATGTAAAACTGGATTGTGAATGGGATTATGGAGAAATCTACATGGGGAATAGTTGGAGGAACTAGGTTTACTTGTCCTCTAAAACACAGTCATCAAATTTTTCTGTGAAGGGCTAGATGTAAATATTTAGGCTTTGTAGTTAGGCCATATGGTCTCTACTATAACTATGCAATTCTGCTGCTGTAGAATGAAAGCAATCATAACTAATACATAAACAAATGAGCATAGCTGTGTTTCAATAAAACTTTATTTATAAAAACAGCCCATAAGCCAGCCAGTTTGCTGACCCCTTCTCTAAAAGATACAAAAAGATAGATATTAGACTTGTTCTATAAGGATTAAGTTATAGCTTGTAGATACCAACTCACTAGAAGAATAAATTTTCTTATAGTAATTGTCTAAAGATGGAATGTACTCCTTTAGGAATTGTGAGTTCCCTGAAATGGTAGGTAAACAAAAAGAGGACAAGGATATTGTAGAAATAATCTCAGGTTCTTTTTCCCAGTTCTAGAAGTCTATGATTATTACTTGTTTTGGAAGCGTCGGTAATATTTTATATCAAAGTAATTACTTGTTTGGGATAGTACAAGTTTTGATGAGAGGGTATTAACTTCAAGAAGTTATGTTTTTCCAAAATATCATGTCCAAATCATCTTTGTTAACATTAACAGTATTTCTGACATGTATGCTATTGGCTGAAAATTGCCTCATAAAATTAAAAACTTAAAAGAAGGTAAAATAATGTAGCTATAATGATAAAATACTTGCTTCCTCCCTCTCCCCCACACTTCTATGATTAAACATTTCTTTCTGATTCTGATGACACAAATAGCTTGGATTGTTTTGTGTGTAGAGCTATTTGTATAAGGAATTAAATAAATAAATAGAATCAGAACCCCAAACTGTTTTCATTTGACCTACGATAGCTATGTATATCTGAGTAATTTTTCTCCCTCTTGGTAAACAGTTGAAATACTCATTGCTGATGTTTTCAGAGCCCTAGGCCCACACAAACTATAGAGGCAAACTGTTGGTACATTTGAAACATCAATGTATTTAATATCAATATTGTTCTTTAGAGAAACCGCCAGCACCATCACAAGTACAGCTGATCAAAGCCACTACCAACTCTTTCCATGTCAAATGGGATGAAGTGCCTACAGTTGAGGGCTATCTTTTGCAGCTGAATACAGACTTGCCGTACCAAGCTGCATCATCAGATTCTTCAGCAGCACCAAATATGCAAGGTAACATAATTTTCACCTTAAAGCATGCATGCTCATATGCTTTTTTTAAAAAGTTACTGCAGGAAAGCCAGTGCTTAAGGCCTACTTTTAAAAATTTAATGATAATGATGTTTCCTGCCTGGTTAATCAAATATATTGCATTTCAACTCTGAAACTTGCCTGTCTTATCATTATGATGTGGTAGAATGCATAGACATGTAGGATACAGTGTTTTTTCTGCAGTTCATTCTGATGTACTTTCTTTTTTGTTGTTGCGTTGTTTTTTTTTTTAAGATTTTATTTATTTATTTGACACAGAGAGAGGGAGAGACAGCTAGAGAGGGAACACAAGCAGGGGGAGTGGGAGAGGGAGAAGCAGGCTCCTGGCCGAGCAGGGAGCCCGATGCGGGGCTCGATCCCAGGACCCTGGGATCATGACCTGAGCTGAAGGCAGACACTTAACGACTGAGCCACCCAGGCGCCCCCTGATGTACTTTCTTAATTTGACATGATACATGACTTCAGGAGATGGTTTTAATTTGCTTTCATAAATATTTCAGCTTTTTTCAAAAGTATTTTTGTACAGTAATAGGCACTTGCAAAGTTAAAAACACTTAATTTTACATGTTCTTTTAGAAAGGATTTTAGTCAACTATTAAGCAAACTATTAAGAAAATAGATAAACTTTGATAAAGATACTTTTTAACCTTTAATACATAACTTTTGGAAATACTTGATTGTAATATATTTTATTGAAACTAATTTAGAGCATGTCAGTCTGAACTTTCTTATTCCTACAGGAGTCAGAATGGACCCTCACAGACAAGGCAGTAATAGCACCATTCCTAACAGTGTAAGTTAAAAAAAATGTATGATGACAAATGAATGTTTAAGGTTAGAGTCCCAATTTTTATTCATATTTTTAGCATATTACCCTAGGACAGAAGTTCTCAACCCTGGCTGCATATTAGAATCACCTCTGAGATTAAAAAACAAACATACACAGAATCCCAGCCTTTCCCCAGATTTAGTGAAGCAGAATCTTTAGGATGATGCCCAGGTAACTGGTTTCAAGGAACGCTCCACTGATGACTATGCCAGTAGCCCAGATTAAGAACCCCTAACCAAGAGATTGAAGTCTACCTTCATTACACATAGCATCAGAGACAAATCCCTTATAATTTATACTTACAATATCTTGAAATCTTTTTGACATTTCTAAATGTCATACACACTCATTTTAAATTTCAACTAATACCTGGAAAATCAACATGAAATACATTTCTTTACTATGTACTTTGTTGACCAAAGAATATGAGTTGCTAAATTGAGCACTGATGTTTGTGAGGTTCCTTCTTGTTTATGAAGTGCTTCACAATAGATATTTGTAGAGACTAATGAATAAGCTTACTAGGATTTACACTGGTTTTTCATGGCAAACTGCTACTAAATATACAGTAGATTCTTTTCAAGGAAAATGATGTAGGTGTAAGCACATGTGTTCTGAACATGACTGTGATGGACAAGTATCTTTAGGGCCATCAGAAGTTATAACTGACTATAGAGTTATAATTAACAATCAAGATGGAGACAGAAAAGTAACAAAAAACAGGTAAGTAAAAAGGGGCAGCAATATTGGGGTTTTTGAATAAAAGCCAGATCACTTTTATGGTGCAGTAGACCCATAGTTATTGCTTTGTAGTAGTAATTGATACACTGATGACCTGAATTATCAAAAAGTTTAAATATATTCATTATAGTGTATATAAGAAGACAAAAACAGAATTAGAAAGATTCCTATCTAAAATGTTTAATGGTAAAGAATATTGATATGTGTATATATTAAATCTTGATCTCTCTTTGGAAAACTCAGTCATACAGAATAATTCATTTGCTTGAACTGAGATTTTATTTTTGGAGTCATCAGATCTTTAATGTCCATATTGACCTTGTTAAGAAAATTTGACAAAAATGTTAAACTCGGTAGCTTTGGTGTTGTCTCCTGTGTTACATACATATTTACTTGAATACTAACTACCACTTATAAAAATGTAGTGTTTTTTTTTCCTCAGAATATACCCTCCCATTCCCCTTCGGAACTGGTCTTTTGAGAATGGAGATTAAGTGAAGAAATTATTTTCTTAAACTATTATAAAATTTAAAGAACAATCCTATACAAATTAAGAATATAATTTAAACTGTTTTATATCTTGGTAAATTTATTTTCAATAGCATTTAAGTTGTAAATTATTTTGCTTGTTTTTTACATGTATTTTATTCAATTGAACATTGCTTGCTACAATAAACTATTTTATTTTTTATAGATCAGTGATACAATGAACAGTACAAAAACTGAACATACAGCTATGAAAGGAACTTCTGTGAAAAACAGACCAGATCTCAAAGCATCAACTGATTCTAATGCCACTTTACATTCATCTTTGGCAACTATACATTCATCTTTGGCAACTAATGCTTCTAATCATAATAGTTGTGTCGTGGATGTGCTAAGGAAAAATGAAGGTATAAGGATTGCATTTTAAATAAAGCTAAGGCTTTTTATAATATGGAATTTTAGTCTTTGGAAAAGTAAATGTTCCATGGTTTTGATCCATTTTCAAAATAATAATAAGCCTGCCATATTGACCCTAGTTAGAGTGATATCAAGATACCAAGGAAGCACCTACCTGAATAGTAACACTTAGTTACGAGCTGTGGAATTCAGATGAGGCAAGCTTTTGTATGACATTTGAGGTTGGCCAGTGTTGCAGTGTCCCTCTCCCATTACTGTATTTTCTTTTTTTTTTTTTTCAATTTTTTTTATTCTTATGTTAATCCCCATACATTACATCATTAGTTTTAGATGTAGTATTCCATGATTCATTGTTTGTGCATAACACCCAGTGCTCCATGCAGAATGTGCCCTCCTCAATACCCACCACCAGGCTAACCCATCCTCCCACCCCCCTCCCCTCTAGAACCCTGTTTGTTTTTCAGAGTCCATCGTCTCTCATGGTTCGTCTACCCCTCCGATTTCCCCCGCTTCATTCTTCCCCTCCCGCTACCTTCTTCTTTTTTTTTTTTCTTAACATATATTGCATTATTTGTTTCAGAGGTACAGATCTGAGATTCAACAGTCTTGCACAATTCACAGCACTTACCAGAGCACATATCCTCCCCAGTGTCTATTACCCAGTCACCGCCTCCCCCCCCACCCCCCACTCCAGCAACCCTCAGTTTGTTTCCTGCGATTAAGAATTCCTCATATCAGTGAGGTCATATGATACATATCTTTCTCTGTTTGACTTATTTCGCTCAACATAATACCCTCCAGTTCCATCCACGTCGTTGCAAATGGCAAGATCTCATTCCTTTTGATGGCTGCATAATATTCCATTGTATATATATACCACATCTTCTTTATCCATTCATTTGTCGATGGACATCTTGGCCCTTTCCACAATTTGGCTATTGTGGACATTGCTGCTATAAACATCGGGGTGCATGTACCCTCCATTACTGTATTTTCTTAGCACTTAGAACTATCTAAAATTATTTATTTGGGGCAGGGATTTTCTTGTTCATCTCTTATATTTCCTCAGCACTTGAATCCATGCCTGGTTAATAGTAGTCACTTAGTAAATATTTGTATAGGAAGTAACTGGATTATCCTCAGAAAGATCATTCATTTATGAGAACTGTTGATTACATTCATGGGACAGCTTGTAATTGGTGAACCTTATATTTAAAATGAGTTCATTTGAATATTCTTATGCCGTTTGAGATACATTAAGCATTGCGCCTGATTTAAATATCTAAAATTATTCTATAAGTCTCATTCTGATATGTCTGTGACATAGAAATATGTGACTGTATTTTTAATTTGAAAACATCATGACAGCTGATATAAATCTAAATCCTCTTCCATGATGCAAACTTAACAAGATGAATATAATTTTTATTTCCGTTTTTCTTTATGAGCCCATAGTAGATAAGAGTATTCAAGGAAAATAATTTCCTATCATTTTTCCTCATTTCATTACATGTGGAAAAGGAAAACACTTTTGTTTTCTTGATTTTCTGATGGAATCATTTGGTCAAAATTATAAAAGCCTGTTCGTGGGCTGCAGCTTATATTTCTCTTTTTTGTTTTGTTTTGTTTATTTATTTGACAGAGAGAGCACAAGCAGGGGAATGGCAGGCAGTGGGGGGGGAAGAAGCAGGCTTCCTGGTGAGCAGGGAACCTGATGAGGGGCTCACTCCTAGGACCCAGGGATCATGACCTGAGCCGAAGGCAGATGCTTAATCGACTGAGCCACCCAGGCGCCCCTGTTTTTCCTTCTTACAGTGATTTTCTATGTCTGTCTTGTAAAGTTTATATTCTTGAAAACAAATAAAAGCTTTGAGGTTTTAGAATCTTAATACACTCTAAATCCTATGTTGTAGGGCAGTTTGGATAAAATTAGTATTAGGCAAATGGGAAAACCAGAGTGATTGTACAGTGACAGTATCTGGCAGATCATAGACATTCAAATATGTGAATGAATGGCTACCCAATGATAGGTTAACAAGAGGAGATTGGACTTTTTCTCTGGAGGTTAGAGTAGCTGGTATGTTTTAAAAGTGGAAGAGTGACATGATTAGTTGTTGTTTGGAAAGAACGCTCTGGCCTCACCATCAGAACTATAGTAGGAAATGATTGGGAGACCCATTAGGGTGTTCCTTTAGAACTGCAAGAGACGCAGTGGGTGGGATGGAGAGGAGAGAATATATCATTTCTCAGACTTTTAGAAACTAGCATCCATTATTAGCCTTGCAAACTGGTTGGATATGAGAAATAAAAATGAGTTGACCATGACTCCCAGTTTTGGGGGTTGGAAATTCAGTGGATGATGATACTCTTTATCAAGATATGAAATATAGGAGCAAGAACAGACTTGGGAAAAAGGTACGTTCAACTTTGAACTTAGTGTTTTTGAGGCACTTGAAGAACATATTGGTAAAGATTTCTAATGGGCAGTTGGATACTTAGGTGTAGAGTTTAGGTAGTAGTTTTTGGCTGGAAGTAAAATTTGGAAGTTAAGGGTATCTAAAATATAAGCTCTACAAGAGCAGGGACCTCGTCTGACTTGTTTACTGTGAGATTCCTAGCACCTGGCACAATGCCCAGGACATATGTATTTGAGAGAGGTATGATTTGTGAATGTAGTTAAAGCATAGGAAACTATGTAAATGGAGAAAAGAGAGGCTTGGGAACATCTGCATTTGAAGAGTCATTTGAAGAGAAGAAACCAGCTAAAGAGATTGAAAAGGGGTTCCTAGAAGGTCAGGAAAAGAACCAAAGAGATTGGTGTCCTATTTTTTCCAGGCATCACAGTTTGTAGGTCTATCTCTATTACATGATTTTAACTTGATGAGGTATTAACCATGCCTGCTTTGTTTCAACATTGTAGAAACAAGCACAGTATCTGTTAAATAGTAAATCTTCAGTATTGTGGAATGAGTAATTATAAGTCATAGAAAGAAACCGCTTCAAAAAGGAGTATGTGGTCAGCATTGTTCACATTGCAGAAAGGTCAAGTAGATGGAAATCGAAAGGCATCCCTTGAAATCATTGACATTTGCCAGAGCCATTTCATTAGAGTAGTGGGCTAGAAACCAAGTTTGAGGAGGTCAAGGAAGTAGAGACTGCTCTGAAGAGAATTAGTGAGGGGCAGAGGTAACTGGAGGAGATTTGTGGGGTCAGAGAAGATGCTTGTTTGTTTGCTTGAGAGACTTGATAATGTTTATGGACCGATGGCCAAAAACTACTAATGAAAAAGAATCTGAAAACCCTGAAGAGAGAGTAATGATTGATGAAAGAGGGTCCCAAAATATGGGGAAGGAATGGGGCCAAGAGCACAGGAGGATAGATTATCCTTCCTCAGGAGAGAGGTCAGTTCATCCTTTGAAATGGAAGAGAAAACAGAAAGGATGGGCATAATCACAAATATATTTCTAGTTTAGGGCAGGAGAGGCAGAAAATTGATGGCATTCATGCCTGATGACTTCTATATGTTTCCCTAAAACGAGAAGCAGGGCATTTGATCTATGATTTAGGAGAGTCCGAGAACAATGATTCAGTGTTTAGAGTGGAAGAAGGAGCTAAGAAGTTGAACATCTGTTGTCTGTGTAGTGCACTTTATTTTTCTAAATATTATATGCCTAGTGGTTAATTCATATGAATGACATATACATTACTCATGTTTATATTTTTAAAATCGAAAATACCAAGAATTGTATGACAAGAACCATAATATGGAACACTTATTGCAGGCATTATGTTAATAATTGATCTTTTCACTTTAATTTTAGGTCCTCATACTTCAGCAAATATAGGTGTTCTAAGTAGTTGCCTGGACTTAAGAACAGTAATCCCTGAAACTTCTGTATCCAGTTCTGTTTCCAGCGCACAAACTATGGTAACCCAGCAGACCATTAAAACTGAATCATCCAGTACAAATGGGGCAGTTGTAAAAGATGAAACTTCACTAACAACATTCAGTACCAAATCTGAAGGTTTGAAATGTGTTTCACATACTGTATTTTGAACCATTTTTGTATATAAATTCATCAAACTTATTTGTTTAGATGGGAATTCCATTTCATCTTGGATTGAATCATATATAAACAGATAAAACATTTCAATTAAAATTATTATATAATATACTCTGCTGCCTTCCATAAAATATTTAAATCAGCACACACTGAAATACATTCAGAATGTATTTTTCCTACCATGAATATATATTCAGCAAACTTCTTTCCCATAGAAAAACTTCATTCTTTAGACTATGGAGTAATAATTCTCCCAGCTTGATTGATTTCTGATTTTGTAAATGCTCATTTCATTCTTTTGCAATAGGACTTGTGTTTCATCTTTGGTAAACATTCTCTGAAGTTCTAGCAAGTCATCAAACCCTTGAGAAATGAACTTTGTGAATTAGTTCAAGTTAGAGCATCCATATTTCGAATTATTGTGTTTTTCTCCCTCTGGCTATTTTTTGTATTTTTATAAATTATATTTTAATGTGTCTGTTTGCTAAGTGATTACGTAAGTCTTATATGATGAATTGTTTGGTTTTTAGTTGATGAAGCATGTGCACTGCCTGCGACTAAGATCAGCCGTGTAGAAACACATGCTACAGCGATGCCGTTTTCTGTAAGTATATGACCTGAAGAGCCTATGTGTTTAAAGGTGGGATGCTGAGCACCTTCAGCATAAATTCATGAGAAGATTCTTGGCTGTCCTCTAGTGATGACTTTGCCAAAGATTGAGAAATGAAGGCTTGAATAGAAAAATGTTAAGTGAAAAAAGCTGCATAAAAAATAATATATATATACTGTGGTCCCAATTTTATTAAAAGACACACACGATACATACATTCTCACTCTCACGTGAGTCCACGCACATCCACACTCTAATGCTAGATGACTTTCTCCAGGCTGTGCGGCCACAGATAATTTTTACTTACTTCTGTGGGCCTTCAGTATTTTTGTAGAGTGAAATGTGCTGCTTTCATAACCAGAAATATGGGTGTGTGTATGTCTACATATATATGTACATATGTAAATTACATTAATGGCTTAAAGAGTAAAAGGACATGTTACAGAATATAAAACTTCAATGGCTCTATTGCTAGCTATTGGGAGAATAGCAGAATATTGCAGATTGGGTTAGACATACCTGTAGGGTAGCCCAATAATCTCTGACACTGGGTTGTTTTATGAAAGGCCAAAATCGGTCTGCATGGCACCAAACTTAAAATGCTAAGTATTTGCCTCACAAATATACCACGGTTGTCTTAATGAGGTAAATATAAGGGTAAAGATATGTGTGTGCATGTGTGTGTATATACTTTTTAATTTATTTTAAAATTATCAGTCATTTCAACTTTATTGCTATGAGCAAGAGTTTTATTTGACCTAATATTTACCTCTGGGAATCTTCAGGAATTGTCTGTAGTTTTAGTTTTCTTTCAATCATGATTTTATGGATTTCGATCAGATATTTACCTTCATCAGCTTTCACCTTTCCAGAATGTTAAGTCCTAGAATTCTTAGACTCTTCTCAGGGAAGAATTATTAAAGGGAACTTTTTTTCTCCTAAACCTATTTTGCAACACATCAGCCAGAATGGTATTTGTTATTTCAGGGGGAGCCAGTTGTTTTATAAAAGTTGTTGAAGAGAGTTTTTACAACTTTAAAAATGAAAACAAGCTTAAAGATATTCCTTTAAAAAAAAAAACTTAAAAGACTTTTCTGGTTAGCTCACGTTGTCATGTGTGATAGCCTAAATAACAAATAATGTGAATTGTAAGCATGTACCTCTGCTGTTATATATTTAAGACAGAAATAAATAACTGAAGTGCACATTTGTTTTGAGCTTCTGGAAACAGTGTCTCATTTATAAAGAAGATGGCTTAAAAAGGTTAGTTCCAGGGATAAGTATAATTCACTTATCACTAAAAGTAGCTTAAGGTAGAGGAAGTTTATTTGTTTTAAAGCAAGGTAAAAAATATAAAACTGTTTAATCTGCTCCTCTTTAGTATATACTAAAGTATATTCAAATTGCATTTTAGTTTTGAACATTTTTTCTCCTTTTAGGTTTGGAGAATCACAGGTATTTCAAGTGCAAAGATCACTGAATTTCTGCTAGTTGTTTTTGAGTCTAGAAATAAGCCAGCTTGGAATGAATTTTTCCTTATTTGCTCCTTTGGAGCAAGGTGTAATTTCACACTAAAGGGATTACATTTTCTGAGAGGGTCTCTGAAATGACAGTGTTCTGTAAAACAGCCGGCATTTTAACATATCACTGATTGGAAAGCATGCTAACTGCAGCTAGGTTGATAGTGCAGAGCCACTGACTTGGAGAATGCCTGTCACTCCCTGTGTTTGAATTGGCATCCCTGTTTCACTGTCAGTTGACCTAATCTGTTAAGAGTTTATTTACTTATGAGCTTTTAATGTTGTGGTGTTTACCCATATACCTACTTGTAGATCACTGCATGGATTTATTAAATCTTGAAGTTTCTTATATGCACAATAAGAGTCCTGATAAATTTTTCTTTCTCTGAAATTAGAAAGAGACTCCTTCAAATCCAGTGGCCACAGTGAAAGCAGGAGAACGACAGTGGTGTGATGTAGGAATTTTTAAAAATAATACAGCTTTGGTGAGCCAGTTTTATTTGCTGCCAAAAGGAAAGCAAAGCATCTCAAAGGTAGCTGTTGATCTATATTTCCTACCCTGTGAGTTATAAGTTTCATGAATGAGATATTTTTTAATAACCCTGATTCAAGTCACTTGAATGCATGAAACTGGGATCTGTTCACAATCTATAATTGAGATTCCTATCTATATGCCTAATTATCTTGTGTTCTTTTTTAAGGCACTTTTTATGAAATATATCACAAGCAGGTCACTTAAAAAACCTTATACAATCACTGGGCTGGATTTTGAGTCATAAATAATATGGTCTGGCCAGTACAGAGAAGGATTTTTTGAAATATCTCTCTAATTTTGTTACCTGGTGTGTTTTGAGAATGGAACATTTTTTCTTACTGAGAACTTTTTTTTTTTTAAGGTTTATTTATTTATTTAGCGTTTGAGTGCACAAGTCAGGGGAGAGGCAGAGGGAGAGAAGCAGACTCCACACTGAGAGTGGAGCCTCTGTCTCAAGACCCTGAGATCATGACCTGAGCCAAAATCAAGAGTCTGACGCTTAACCAACTGAGCCAGCCAGGCGCCCCTTTACTGAGAATTTTTTAAATTCCTGATTTCACAACTTAAAAAATTTAAGAGCTCCTGTTGGTTATTGAATACAATCTAATTTTCTCTTGATTCTGAAACTCCTTTAAAGAAGAACTCATATATATAAGTGAGACATTAACCCTAAGAATTATGAAATAAATAACAGCTCCAAAGCACATTGAACTGATTTTTTTCTGGAATGGTGAATTTCAGAGAGTGAATTGCCTAGATCTACATAAATGGATAATTTATCATTTATCATTACATTTTAGTTTCTCTAATATTACTTCTGATATCTTTCTTTTTCATAGAATTCTTCCAATTGACAAAAACAGAAATCCTGGTTAATAATTTGTTAGTATTATACCTAATGAAATTTCTGGCGGTAGTTTGATTTCATATATAAGGGAATAACAATATCTAAGGGCCTAGTAGCTACCTGTCTTTCCCAAAAGAAAAACAGCATAAAATTTAGAACCAGTAAGCTTGGGTTTGAATCATTAGTTCCAGGACTCAACAGTGTGACCTTGGACAAGTCACTGTTTAACCTCTCTGAGACTCCGTTTCCTCATCTATAAAACAAAAATGATATTGCTCCCTTAAAATTGGGAATGATACCATTAGCACTACCTGCCTCACAGTGGTGCAGTGAGTTAGGGAGAACATGGAAAAACTGTTTGAAAGTTGTGAACGTTACGAACTTCTACCCAGAATATGCAATCCAGTTATTTAACATTTATTCAGCATCTGCTGAATATTAATTTTTAAAATGCTCTATATTACATGCTAGTCACTTCTGTCAAGCTTGCTTGCCTATATCCAAAGGGTATTGTTCCTGGTTAGACTATTTGAGAGTAGTTCTTCTGAGATTTTTACTCTAAGTTTATAAAGATAGTTGTTACTTTGTTTATAGTGGTCGTCAATTTTTTCTACCTTCATATTCTTTATGTGCAGAACACACTTCAATTTCTTTTTATAATCAGTGGTTTTTAACTGGAAAGGGCATTTTTCCTCTGGATAAGAATCACCAATTTATGGGCTTAGTTGCTTTTGTATTGGAAGGTTTATTCCATGTGTAAAAAAGGGAAATAAATGTGAACTAGAACCTTAAAACATAATTCATTCTTTAAAAGTTTTCTTGTTGAATGACAAAATGATGAATTGCACCTTTTGACGTTTGCATGTATTACATTTTAGATAGGAAATGCAGACGCACCTGACTACAGTTTACTTAAGAAACAAGATCTTGTTCCAGGCACGGGATACAGATTCAGGGTTGCTGCCATCAATGGTTGTGGAATAGGCCCTTTCAGCAAAATCAGTGAATTTAAAACTTGTATTCCCGGTTTTCCTGGAGCTCCTTCTGCAGTCAGAATTTCAAAGGTGAGATGTCAGGTCAAGGCTTGGTGATTTAATTATTGAAATTTTGTACATGAAGTAAAACTGTCAGTTTAGAGATTCATGTTAGTAACTGATGAAATGAGAGGTATCTAAAAGGGTGGATTGATGTACACCTGAAACTAATGTAATGTGTGTGTCAATAGTACTTCAATAAAAAAAAACATTAGGTCTTAAATAAATAAAAGGGGTGCATTATAAGTTTAAAAAATGTTTGCTAATCACTCATAATTTTAAGGACCAAATTTCAAGCAAAATTACAGCATCCAAAATATAGAAAGTCAGGGAAATCTGGTATTCTTAATATTAACTTTGTTCTTATTGTATGGAACCAAAAAGTTTGTGCTGGAGAATTTTAATAGAACACATGAAATTGAATTATATTTTATCCTAAGGTCCTGCCCCTCTTTAGAGAAGAAAAGATCTGCTTTCAGGTAAGAAAAATCCCTTTCTTAGGATGGTACAGGCAGACATTTAAGCCTAGTTATGATATTGAAAAGTGGGCATGAATTAAACATTGTAGATCCAATTAGGTTTTTAAAAATCAGTAATAAAAGTTCTAGTATCTAATGCAGTTACTTTAGCGGAAAGCAGTATTTTATATTCTAAAGATAGACTCAACATTGTAAGTGATATTAGAGAAAACTTCAGAACCTTTACGTGGTTTTGTTTTGTTTTTTTTCTCCTCTCTTCAAGAATGTTGAGGGTATCCATCTCTCCTGGGAACCTCCAACTTCCCCTTCTGGAAATATTTTGGAATACTCAGCCTACTTGGCTATCCGCACAGCACAAATACAAGATAATCCAAGTCAGCTTGTGTTTATGAGGATTTATTGTGGTCTTAAGACATCATGTATAGTAACTGCCGGGCAACTTGCAAATGCACATATCGATTATACATCCAGGCCTGCCATTGTGTTCAGGATATCAGCAAAGAATGAAAAGGGATATGGACCAGCTACGCAAGTTCGATGGCTTCAAGGTAACAATAAAAAAGCACCTTTAAATTGAATTTTTTTTTTTTTACTGAAGCTATTGTGAAGATTATTTATTAGTAGCTGGTTTTGAAGATTTGTCATTTAAAAGAGTATTCTCCGACTGTATTTCTAGCACTTATGAGTTTGAGTTTGTAAGTTGTTCTTAAAATGTATTTGCTCAATTTTAGATCCAAATAAAAATAGAAAAGAAGCAAAGACTCTCTGAAAATTAGTATATGGATTCGTCCTTACAGTTATATAACTGCTTTTTTATAAAGGAAAATAGTAAATTAAGATAAAAGCTAGAAGGCTTTATTACCCCAGTATCTTTTCTAAAGGCCATGTAACTCAGTCGTCCTAGAGTTACTGAGATGATTCTAGTAACTGGCTGTTGTGCACTGCGCTGTCCTACATAGTAGATGTTCTCTCCGTTGTCAAGGACCCGTCTTTGAGTACTCCCTCTAACTTTATTATTCTAGATGAGCAGCGGTCCTCTTAACAACTGTCTTCTACTGGACAATATTTGTGATACTAATTTTAGTAGCCGCTATTTGATTCATTTTTTTTTGTTTGTCTACAGTTAGCACAGAGCTTAAGAAATTACAAAAGAAAGAAAGAGGTGAGTTCAGAAACTCTGATTTTGAATTTTTATTATTTTCCAAGAATCATGGCAAAATACAAAAAGAAAAATGGGTTTTCTTGATTCATACCTGATATATTGGAATATATTTTTGGCCAAAGCGCTTAACTTACCCGGTCCTCAGTGTCCTCATTAATAGAAGACAGAATTTTAAAAATTTACATTTAAGGTTTCTTTCAGCACTAAAATTCTGTATTTTCATCAGAAGCAAAGTATATCTGTGAACATTTTAACATCTGTCTTAATGGCTCTAACTTTGCTTTTGCTGAAATTAATAAAACCTTCATAATTTAAAATTCAAAATTAAAGTATATATGTCCTCCTTATTGCAGAAAGAAAGAAGCACCTTAACAGAACACAAGTTTTGAAATAGTGTTTTAAACATTTGTAAGATTTTTGTAAATGCTCTAAATGTTTTATTTTTGCATTGTTTTTACCTCAAAATTGTATGAACTTTTTTACAACTGAAATATAAGCATTAGACAGCTCACTCAGGTCCCATTGCAACCTTAAAGATGCAGATAGGCATGATGGATCCTCTGCCACAGGTAGCTTGTTTTGAACCTTTTCGGAATGTCACGGTTCCACTGCCTGTTCAGATCTGGAATGGAAATACAGAGCAATAAGTGCAGAAAAGGTCGTTCACACTACAAGCTGCAATAATCGCACGGGCCCAGGCCTATCTTTTTTATACCGTGTAACCTTATGCCAGTGTAGGTTGACTGAGTAGCTGTGTCCTCGAGCTTCACGTAGAATACTCCCAGCCAAGATGGATTTAATTGTGCAGAATTGATATATATGTATGTTCCAGTTACTAATTTAAAGTGTATAGAATATTTTAATATATAATTTTTGTAAAGAACTGGGATTTTTATACTACAGTATTTGTAATTAATGTGTCTCACTAATTAAGTTTCTCTTGAAGAAAATATGCAAACTATTAGACACGTAATGAGTGATTTCCAAACTCTAAAGGTAAAATAAATGCACTACTCTGGTGTTGTTAGAATACCTTTTTTGTGGCTGTATGAATCCTTAATCTTTAAATGTGTATTTTATAAACAATGTTTACAAGGAGCCTCTCTGGTTTGTTATGTCAGCACCTCCCTTGGTGAGAGCTTCATTCTGCATTTGTTAAATTCATATGCTTTGCTTTTAGCATATGCTTGCTTTTTGCACTAGTAGAATTTTAACTTACCTCATTATTATGTTTGTAATCATTTGTATAGCTTCCATAATATGTCTGATATAGGCTAAACAAATACTTAACCAAAGTTAAAATAAATGGTAAGCAATTTTGCACATATTAAATGCTAGGGTTTGTTGTGTATATGTGTGTGTTTAGTATAAAAAGAGTAAGAGTGGAAAGTTAGAGTATATGTTTCAAGTCCAATTATTTTAATGATCTGTTTGCTTTATTAGAAAAAGGTCTCGCTTTTACCTCCTTATTCTCTGCATTAATTAACAATTTGCATCTCGAAGCACTTCTCTTAATGACAGGACTAAGTTGACTTTAAGCAAAGAATAGAATATTTGTTTGAGTGTGCACATTTGTACCTATTTAGTATTTGTTTAGTTTACTTTGCTTTACATTGCCTCAACTGTGCTGTGAACCTGTGGTTCTAACGTACATCTTATTTTTAGAGAGAAAGGCCGTCTTTCTGTACCAAGGGATTTGTGAAAATGACAAATGTTTTTACTTTAAGAATAAGCCCAGATTTTGTTATCATTTTTTGGCATTTGTACATTAAGCAACGGTCATGTTTATGGGTGACTGAAAAATGCCATTGAGAAATCCCTGTGGCTTGACATTAATAGTTAATAACAGATCTTCAAGCTGCGTGTTCATGAATAGAATGGACTAGGGTAAATAATAAGCGAAGTGCGTTTAGCTTCCTATGATTTGCACATTTTCTGAGTGAAGATCCCTGAGTAGCAGTGGGCTAGATCATGCAGATATCTTTCATAAGACGATTTATGCTGAGTTAAATGACCTTCTTTACTCCTCCCTGCTGGATAGGCAATTCAGATGTTCAAGCCTTTGTGCCACAGTCATCTTCCTGGGTTCTACAACTTTGTTTCACATATGTAGTAAAAAGATTTTGATGTTGCATGCTCTTAGAATTATATTTTCTAAAATATTGTATTGGCTTCATTTTAGTTTAGTAAGCTGTTTTGGTAATTTAACTAGAAATAGGGTATTATAAACTCACTTTTATCCACATTAAAACAAAAACGGAAAGAATCTGATTGCATGTATGAGGCCCCCTTGCCCTATAATCCAATTACATAAATACCATCATCTATAAGAAGGTAAAACTGTTGATCCATTATTTCAAAGACTTGTAGCCTAGCAAAGATTTGTTCTGGTTAGAGATATGGTCTACTATAACTGAAGGTATTTTTATTTTTAAAAAATTGCAGCACTTGTAGCATAAAAATAATTTGTAACATTGGCTATGAAGAGATAGTTAGTATTTAAAGTTATTGTAGTAATCTGACCATGAATGAAATAGGTTGCAAAATAGACTTGGTCTTTGACTGCTTAAGGTATAACTGACAGTTAAGTTTTCCAAGACTGATTTTAGGCAGTTTCATGTATTATGTACCAATGATAATGTAAAATAAAGCACCTTTTCTATTATAACCAATTACAGGTGTTATTTATTTTGAACTCTATGAGAGAAAAATTAGTGATGGCAGAGTAAATCTGTAGAAATGTTGACTTTATATCATTCTTAAAATAATATAGGCCGTCTCATAAAGAATAGATTGTGTCCCAAAACTTGTTTTTAAGTTAGTGGATTGTGTTCAGGAGTCATGTTCTCATACAGATGTGAAGCTGTATCTCTCTAACCTTTCCTGTGGCTGAGCTCATGGGTGAAAAGGCACATGGCTCCAGGAAACAGATCTAAACTGTTGCCATCTCTTTTTTTTGTCTTCTATTCACTCTTAATCTTTTGTCTTTATGCCTTGCACCCACTTTAATTCACAGCAGCCAGATTTCTGTCCTGCTTCTCCATCAAAATGGCTCTAGCAAAGGTCAGGGATAACTTCTCATTTCCCAAATCCGGTGATTACTCTCGTCCTTCATAACTCAACCCCTCCCTGGAGACTTGGACATTTTCTTGGTTTCTGTGATACTCGCTCTCTCTTTCCATACCTCCTCCTGTCTGTAGTCCCCTTTTCCACTTGCACCTGCTTCCATTCATTTTTTTCAAGACTCAGGTCCTTTTTCAAGATTTCAATAGGGAGCCTTTCTTGACGTGCTCCATCCATATCCAGGTAGATTTGCCTCCTTCTTCTTGTGCCCCCACTGTCCTTTGTCAAATCTTCTGTCATAGCAGCCTAAAAAACATTGTATCCTTACTTGTTAGCATTGTTTTCTCCCTCTGCCAGAATAGTGGTAGGTCTTTGAGGCAGAGACTGGGTCTTTATATTTCTTACATATCGGCCTTTCAGCTGGTACTTAAATATGTTAACACATGGTTAAAGATAATTGTCATCTTTGCATCTCTCCATATTCTCACTCCCCTCTCTCAAATTGGGGTGAAAATGGGAGGGAGGCTTTGATAGGGAAAGAGATTTTAGCACATTTAGTAAGCCTCTGGAGGAAATACTAACTCCAGCTTTGTCTTATCCTACCTTGCTCTTACTTAGGTTCCTAGGAGAAGTTCTAGGATAAATAAACGATGTGTCACATATGTACTGGGCTAAAAGGGGTTTAATCTAGGTATGTACAGATCTCAAGCAGAAGTCTCTGATCTAAAAAGATCTGAGCATTTAGTGAGATTGTTGGATATTGCTGAATTATGATTTTTAACATTGGATGATCCAGAAAATGAGCTAAAAATATTTCCGAACTATTTCCTTGTAGGAAAGCCATGGGCAATTATCTAGCATTAGGAAAAAAACACCTACCTATTTAATACTTAAACACAGGGACTGCTGAAAGACATGGAACACCAGCATTAATACATATCAATTCAGGCCACTGTTGTCACCTCCGAGCTTATAGGACAAAGGATTCTTACCCTAACAGAAAACAACATGGCATTGGCACAACTTCCACATTTCCCCGTTATAGTTGGGAGTCCCTGTACTATTTCTGTAACTCAGGAAGACTGTGTGTGTGTGTGTGTGTGTGTGATATGCCTGGAGAAACATGAACTACACCAACTGGGGAGAAAAATATTCTATGAACTGAAGAAGAAAGAAAGGCTATAAAATCCAAGGATACCAGCCTCGTTGTTCAAGATAGATTTCTGTATCTTACTAGTATCTCTTTGCTTCTTTCCTGTCTTCTGAGGAACTAAAATTTAAAAAAAAAAAAAATGTCCACTCATGAGATTGTTAATTTCAGCTAGGTCATCTGAAACTGAGTGTGAGGTTCTTTTGTGTATTTAGTATCTTGGATAAGTTGAATTGGGGGGCCTGGTACTTAAAGGTCATCATATTCACAATCTGAATATCACTCCTGCCAGAGCCTCACATTCAAGTCCTGAGAATACAGGGTTACAAAGCCTTTGGCCTTAGATAGAGAGAAGGCTAGGAAGACATAGGTATGAGAGTACAGAAGCAACAGAAGGATTCACTATTTCCTGATTTGATTTTGCTGGTTCAACAAAAAGTCTTTCCAGAGTATTTAGGGATGTCAGGGTGTTGACTCCTGAAGATAAAAGTGTAAAAAGTATGAATTGGTGGCATATCAGATATGAAAGCTGTTGCAGAGAAGGAAATTGCCCCCTTCCTACCCACTCCCCCTTCCTGGTCTCCTTGCCACCCAGGGCCAAGAATCTAAAGGACCCATCATTCCTCAGCATGAGAACTGAGGAAAGCACAGGAGAACCTGTTGTGTCCAAGCATATACAGGCTAAAAATAAAAGGTAGGAGCTGGTATTTGTTTTTGAACATGGGATAACGCTGTCCACTGGTAAATCCTGGTCCAATAAATATCCAGCTCTGACCAAGAGGATTAT